TTTAGGTAATCTAATTTAATCCTCGGATCCAGACAAGCAGCAATAACAGCAATTTTGCTAGAGACATTGAAATACTTTTTAATCTTTTCTACCCCAGCTTCCAAAGCGTCTTTTAAAGAGTCACTATCTTCGTTAAATATGGACAATGTTGCATATCCATCAATTAAATTTTGGAAACGATCAATTAAATCCACATAGTACGGTACAACCGACGAAAATGTGCAGTATTTCTCTGCACATAAATCTTCGGAAATATCTTTGATGGTTGACAATATATCCAATAATCGATCTACCAGACCCCAGTTCGTATTATCCTCTTGCTTTTCCTTTGGCCAGTTCAAGTTCTTGAATAATTCCTTGGTTTCTTTGTTGGTCTCTTCTTTTAAATGTTGAAAAAAAATACGGAATATACTTTTAAACTTACTCATATATTCAAGCATATCACAAACAGAATTCCATCTTGTTGGACAATCCAGTATCGGGCTTGTAAACTTTAATCCATTTTGTAAACATGAATGTTGAAACCAAATTCTTTGAGATGGAGAGTTCTTTAGTTGCTTTACGCAGGCTCGAATAGGTGCTATCAGATAATTAAACTGCTTGAACATGTCCTGTACCGTTAAATGTAATATATGTGCAATGCACCTGTGGTGGTGCTCATTGGTTTTTACGATTTCCGGTATAAGGCTGCTGATCATTGCATCATTTGAACTGGCATTGTCTGCCGTAACCGAAAATACCTTGGAGTATTCAATTTGGAAATCATCCAAAATAGATCTAAATTCATTGGCAAGATTTAGCCCTGTGTGCGCCAATGTTGATACAGGACGAAAATCCAGTAATCCGCAGTTCAACTTTAATGTATTTTTTTCATCACTAATATAGTGATAGGTGACGCCAAAGAAGGACTTGTGTCTGTTAGTTGAAGTCCAGCAGTCGAAGGTGAATGACAGGTATTTCGCAGACTTTAACTTGCTAATCAATTTGTTTTTGTATTCATGATGAAAGTTGTTGATTTCGGAAGCTAGCCCTTTTCTATCAAAAACCTTACTAAACTCTGGTGGAAAATACGACATAATCTTTCGGAACTGTTTAGAGTCGATAACCCTAAATGGAGTGTTGGTATAAACGAAATATTCCACCAGATCGGCTTTTAAAGTTTCCTTAGATTGTACTTTCATTGTAGTTGTTATCTTTGATTGCTTTTTTTTTGAAATTTCTGAAATTCCAATGTACTTTTCTTGAAATTGAGGGTGCTTGTTCTTTAAATGATAATAAAGGTTACCTAGTAATACTCTCCCTTTAGTATTCTTGCAAACCGATAATTCGTGTTTGCAAATCTTGCAAATATGAGCTTCTTTACCCTTTAACTCCCCATTTGATCCTTTCCCTAATTCATAGCATTTTGCAATTTCTGGGATTGACCGAGATAAAAGCTTTAAGAGTTCGTTTTCTTCTACTGAAAGAGATGAATTTCCTTTAATTCCTTCGTTTTTCGAAGCCATTGATTGTATGTTTATTGCAGGGTTGTTTTCGTCGTCCGATTCTGCACCTAATTGAAAGGTGCTAGTAGAGCTGGTACAACAACCTGATTGATTGTGACTTGAATAGTGATTGCTGCAAAATTGCTTTATGCAGCTGAGGCATTTGTCAAAGCAATCCAATTCACATCCTGAAAAGTCACAGGATAATTCGAGTTGAGCATTGTTTTAATTTTAAAATAAAGTTAAAACTAGTTTTAAAAATTATTTTTTTAATTTTAATCTAAAACTGCCCCACCCTAAATAAAGATAACTGAAATTGGAGAGTAGTATTTATTATTAGCTGAGCACCACTGTTATTTATACCATATTTGGGGTTTCAATTCAAACCCCTGGTGACTTTTTTTGATTGGGCAATGCGGACCAAAATAAATGTTAAAACCAGTCAAATATCATAACACAAATGAATGCCATACCAGCACCTCAATACAAACCTCCACTAACACCTCCAACATTTACTCTAGTACTCTTAACAACCATTTTCATTTACTTGTTTACAACTACACTAGAAATGAAAATAAGAGGATTACTTGGTGCATTATTATTTGCACCTACAGAATACTTTTTCTATCAATTTACTATAGAAAATGTTTCAACTGCACGAATTGCATTTTCACCATTTACGTTTCCTAATAGAAAAGGTCATACTACTATCCATCAATTCTTTAGTAATATACTGTTTCTTGCGTATATTCTTGAATTAGTGCATGGACTAGAGCATTTGTTTGTACTTGTGTTTCCGTTTGTTGTTTGGATTATAGAAATTGTAGAAGGGTTTTATTTGGTGTTTTTGTTTGGAAAGAATCCTGCTTGGTATTATTATGGAGATGATGCTTATTTCTATGGAACTATCAAATTATCGTATTTTAAATATTGGTTTATTGCTGGTATTTTGTTGTTTCCATTTATTGATTGGTTTTGGAAAGCATCACAGTATTTTAATTAATATATCAATTTCTCTTGTTTCTATTTATTGAATTGTTTTGGAAGTATAGTAGTATTTTAATAATTAAGGGTTTTTATGTGTTACCTTTTAAGATTTGAAAAAAGTACCTCCTTTGGTAATAATCCTATCATAATATTATTTTATACTGATGTATGTCAAAAACTGGCATGTTATTTTGATTGTTGCTTTTACATGCACATTATTCTAAATGTTGATAGAAAAAACAAAAAATGCTCCTTGTGTGGATTGAACACACGACCTCAGCATCTTCAGTGCCGCGCTCTCCCAGCTGAGCTAAAGAAGCAGGTGCAATGTTGATCACGGAGTAACCCAAGACAGGATATAAGTGTTAATGGGTATTTATTAACACGATGATTATTCAGGAATTTCGAGGATTATATAGCAGTGATTCAGCCACGTATGACTGGTATGATAGATGACGGTAAGTGGTGAGTCAATGAAGATGAATGCTTCATCATATCTGTACTAACATTGATAACAGCAACTTGGCAGATTAGTTTTAATTTGAAGCAGATATTTGAACCGACCTTTCGAATTGACTTGTTTGAGAATTCGACACCCCTCTATTAATATCCAATAAACATTCAGATTATCTGCGCTTAACAGAAGAGTCTGCAACAAAAAACAGTGAAAACATCTTTATTACAGCCAGAATTTGGATTTAAAAAAGTTAATCATATCAGAATCTTGCTCGTCCTTGCCACTTACCATGGAATACAACTTCATCAATAACTTGGATTCTCCAGCAGCATCCATTGCGTCAACATAATTGGATAAGCTTTTGATTCCGTTCGCTTTCCCTTCTAAGACCAAACTGTTCAATAATTTTGGGTTTTTGTATTGTTTGTGCTTGATGAAAAGCCGGTTGATTTCGGTGTGCAGATATAGTTCATCCTGACTAGGTATGGTTTGGAATGGAAACTCACAAAAGATATTCACTGCTGCAATCTCGTTCTTTTGTTTAATCAGAATATTCCCTAAATCAATATACGCATCTAGGTTGGACTTATCTAATTCAACTGCTTCTGTGTAGAATTGAATAGCATTTTGAAGCATTATCTGTTGTTCTTGATTTAAATTTTCATACTCTGCTGAATTATGCGTCACCATTGCATTGTAAACCTTTGCTAGTCCCACTCTGGCTTGAATACTTTTGGAGCTTGACGGGATGTTCTCTGTATCTTTGATTTGCTCAGACGGCAGTTCATCTGTATTTAAAGTTTTATTTGGCGGGTTGGAAGTAGGCTTGCTACGTGTACCGGCCTTTGTTGACGATGCTGCTACCAATTTAGAATCTGACTTTTTTTCCCCAGATTTTTGAGGTTTCGGTTCTATAGTTTTCTTGTTTTGCCCAGACTTTTCTGTTGAATTTGAAATTGGTTTGGTGGAAGCTTGTTTGCTAACCAAAGGTAATTTACTGATTCCAATTGCCCCTGCTTTTTTCCCTTTTACTTCTTCCGCTTGGTTCGATTTAGAATCTTTCAGTGGTTTGCCAGTTTTCATCACAGGTGGTTGACGGACTAAATTCAATTTTTTGATATTAGTAACCCTCTTTTCAAGTGCTAACCACCACGATTGTTGTTTAATTTCATCTGGCTTTCCTCCACCTTCAAGTTTTAAAGCACCTAGAAATGATTGTTCAGCCAATGTCAAAAACTCAAAATTATTACTCATTTCGTAAAGTTGGAATTGGCAGGAACCCAAGTTGCAAAGATTGCCAAGGTTTTCGAAATTGTGCAATAAAAAAGTTTGACAAATTTGGTACTTGAAATTGATATTTGAGCTGTCCAATAATGACGATGCAATTTTGTAGAGACTTGATTGTAGTTTTAATTTGAGAGCTTTTCCATCATCGTTTTCGGCAAAATATAACAATTCATAAATTTCATTCTGCACTCGGCAATATTCTCCTGCTAACCATTGAAATCCTTGAGACTTTTTTGGGCAAATATTCATAATGGACGGAAGCACATAATTCAGGTTGAGAAGTGAGTTAATCCCTTTTGCAATTTTGGATGTAAATGTAAACCCTTTGGATAAAGCGACAAAGATGGCAATATTCAATTTCGAAAACCCATAATATTCTTGTAGTAGAGGGTTTCTATCCAAATTATTCACTGGAGTTGAGATATTCTGAATCAACAGTTTCCAATACTTCTCTAAAAAACACATTGCAGCTTCCAATTTCTTTTCTTCAATCTTTTGCAAATCATCGACAGCTAAAATGTAAGAAACTGCCCAAACTACTTGAGACTTTAAACAGCCTGGAAGAATACTACAAGCGCTGGAGGCATACACTTGTGATAATGCAAAATGGCTATTGTTAAAATGCCAAAGAGCTACTGATAAACTATATTAGTATTGGACAGTTACACTCCTTCGTGCATTTGAGGATGAAACTTGGCTAGTTCACCATATATATCTCCTATTAAGGTGTTAAATTTTACATTGTTTCCTTCTTTACCATATGAGTTGACTGGATCCTTTTTCATGGAATTCAACTTCCAGTTGATGAGTTCTTGTATTTCAGTCGCCTATGTGAGAAGGATTGACATTACCTCATTGGTTTTGCCTTCATTTTTCAACCGATGATATTCCCCTTCCATGGCTTTGATTTTGATATTTTCATTTGCAGACGGAGAGATCCCCAGCTGTAATAGCAATCCAACAATTTCATCTTGGTAGAAGCTGTCTTTCGCTTGATCGTTTTCATCCTGGATTTTCTTTGCAATTTCAAAATCTGGGAACCATGTTTGAAGAAAATCCAACTCTGTCAACACTTTGCCAAATGTCAAGAGTAATTTTCCGTCTGGAGTTTTGTTGCTCAGATTATTTTGTTCTCTTTCAAACGACAACATTGTTGCCGTCATTTGAATGGCTTCAGTGAGTTCTTCCTTTCTTGGCTGATTAAAATTTTGTCCTTTACAACGAATAGTCGATTCCCAAGTAGCACTCAAACTTTTCGCATAACTTGATAGTGAACTGTCCACTTTTCCAAGTACATTTTCAATATCGTATCTGTATTTTGATTTGTTAACTAAACTTAATTCGATTGGATTAATTTCTTTCATTTTCAAACTTGTCTCCGGTTCAGATTTTAAATTGCAATTGAAATTGTGCACTAATTCTTCTACTTTGGAAATTTTCTTGTTACACTTCAAACACGAATAATAGCAACTGCCTTTATGTTTCTCTTGATTGCAACAAAAGTCAAGTGCATCACAAGCGGAACACGTAAACACTGAGAGTTCACATAACTGAATGTGAGAGATTATAGATTTTACTGACAACATAGACGAACATCCAAATGGACAATTGAATTGGCATTGCGCAATTTCTTTTTCTTTTTGGCTGTCTGAAGTTTTAGATATATCCGAGGATTTTGAGTTGCACACGATACAGAAAAACTCAACTTTGTTGGATGCGTTGTATTCAGACTTCAAGAATATACTAGCACAAGCTTGGCAATAGGTATGACCACACGGGAAGGGCTTCCTCGGTTGGAAAAGCACACAACAACAAGCAGCGCATGTTAAATATTCGTTTGCAATAGTGGGTCTGAAAAAAGTTTTTTCTATGATTTAAATATATACTTTACCTTTTCTCACTACAATTGTGTACAATTCTTCTTTAGATTTGCTTTCAGAAATTACTTTGAATTGAAAAATAGTATCTCCAGAAAACAGCCTATTTTCATCGCCATTTGCGATTATTTCCACACTGCTCAAGGAATTCATTGGGATTATTTTGCATTCGAAATTTTCAACCCCTACAGGAACATCAACATAATATTCTGTTTCAGTTGGGGAGAATGATGGAATTAGTTTCAAACTATCGGGAACTATTATCTCTTTCAAAGAAATATCCAAATCTACGCAGTTAATATATAGTATATACCTCCAGGCCGGTAAACATTAATTTCATACTTTGATTTGGAGCCATCTGGTGCATCGACTACAATTTCAACCGTATTGTTTCCCTGTACTAGTGAAACAACCCCGTCTTTATCCATCCTTTGAACCTGGCAGAAGGCGTCCGATTCGGTGCAGATAGCCTTTACTTTTATTGCTGCGAGTTAGCTAGAACATACAATCAACCTTAGATTCTACAATCGCATGGTATGTCTTATTTCCTTTTGAGAATGGTGGAGATAACGTGAATGCCTTGGAGGAAACTTTAGAACTTATGCCTAGAGATTTTAAAGTTGAGTCATTCATTGCAGGGAGTTTTAAAAGACAATGAAATATTAATTGTATAAATTTTCAAAATGAACTACAACCTGCTAGAAAGAGAGAATACTAGCAATTCAAACAAAAAAATCATTTATAATAACTGCTTTTCCAGACCATCGCAAATCCGCATTAGTTCTTCGTTTTCAGTGTTTTTCCCCTCCAAGTTTCTTTCTAAGTTATTGATTTGACACTCTAATCTGGAAACTTTAGATCTTGTTGCAATTAGTTCTTTTTCATAGGATGCCCGTACACGCGCAATTTCAATATTCGCCCTATAAGTTAGACATTCACTAACTCTTCAAGCTTTGATTCAGCATGATTGCGTAATTTGTCGAAACGAGCATTTGCTACCGATAGTTCATCTTTTGTTTTTGCCACGATTTCTTTTTGACCCTCATTGACCTATTTGTTAAATTTGTGTACCTCTCGCAAGTCTGTCAAATCTAACCTCAGCTGCTTGTACTTTAAATGTAGCTCATCCGTCTCATTCTTTTGATTTTCAATGACCCGGAGGTACTCTGTCTTTTCTCCTTCCAAGTGAGTAATTTGGCCACTTAGGGTCTCGTGTTCTTTTTCCTTATCAGCTTTGCATTATTCTTAAATTACCTATCATTGATTTGACTGCTTTTTCCCATTCCAATAGGGTTGCTTGCATAGAGCAATTTTCTTCTACTAGTGCTTGGTTTTTGTTTGACATCTCGTTTAATTCTTCCTGAGCTAAAGCAAATTCTTTTTCAAACTATTATTAGTTGATATCGACTTTTGTAGTTATATCTCTCTCCAATCGGTCCAAGTCATGTTTGTTATAACGAAATGCGGAATTTGGGGAGGACATTGGCTCGAAAGTATCCAATAGTGATAGTTTGTGTTCAGGAGCTGTAGGTTGCGATGCTGAAATGCCTTTAACTTTCTGTACAGGATTTGGAGAGTCAAAAGACATCATCCAATCTTTGGGAATCAACGGATCAAATTCCAGAGTGAGTTTACTCTGCAAATGCTCTTTTTCAGGGTTGACATGATCAGCTTTTGGGTCAGAAAATGCATTTCCAAC